GGGTGTGGATATTAAATGAAATGGCCCTTATGTGAACTAGGCTTTGCGTCTTATACGTTACTGCGCAACTTAGTGCGCCTAATTTAAAATACGTAAACAGCATGAACAGAAGCTAAAACAAAAACTTGACATGGATAACAAAGAGCTTCAGATTTTGCTCGTTACCATTAATTAACCAATCAGATGCGTATTCAGCCTGTGAGAGGCAGTGGAAGTCAAATCTGAACCTCTCCACAATTAGATTAAAGTGGAAGTCAAGTCCGTAATGTAAACAAACAGCTTGTTTACATTTTGAACTGCTGTATTTTTTAAAATATGATGTACTGTCTGAATATCTAACACCATTTTGGTTCGCTATGCTTCTAAATGTATATGACATAGAGTTTATGCTCAGAAAAATTCGAAACATTCGAAATTTGGGCAATGTTTACATGAGAGGGTCCTCACATTGTTATGAGCAGAACCGATGCGCAGAACGGACTTGACTTCCACTTTAAGAATGTACAAATATTCTTAAAGAATTTAAATATTGATGTCGACTAACCTTCCAGCCAATGTTTTTAACCCTGCTACAGTTGCCATGTTAGGATGTATCTCTACTTCAACAGTTCCTAGACAATGTCTACCAGGAGGTAATCCTAATGCAGCTATGGCGTCCGAGACCAGAACTAATCCTATAGAAATATTCATGGGACATTGTCAGAGGAGTCGTCATTTGGTCGCAAGGGTAGACTCCAGCTAATGGCATTCCGTAATTATTTTTTATTTATTTATTATTAGCATGACAAAATTACTGGATGCTGTTTGGTTGAGAGGAATACAATTATTTCATTAATTGTACTGCAGTACAATTAATGTTTTCCCAAAACAAACAAAATGGCGGAAATGCATTTTAAACACAAGCGTGAAATGAAATTGCCGTGGAGGAACTAGATGAAAATACGAACAAAAGCACCAAATTTTGCTTGAACAAAAGAACTAAATGAAAATACAAACAAAAGCACCAAATTTTGGTTGAAAGTCTGGCAGGACTGGACTTTGGCGAGAAAATATGATGTTGACATTGAGAAGTACGTATCCCATTTTGTCATGCTAATAATAAACAAGTAGCGGCTCGTCCAATTTTGGCAAAATTTCCAAACATCACTCGTACTATTAATCCCTAATTGTACTCGCCATCGCATGATTACCTATACTTAGTGTCGTTGAAACAGGGCGTGGTTTTTCAGTTCACTGCAGGCTCAAGTGCTTGAGGAAGGTCTAAGGGTTAACTGGGTTAACGAACCCGGAGAAAAACCCCAAAAGCAAAGGAGAGAACTAACCACAAGTCTACTTACCCAAACACAAGAGTAAATACGGGATCCTAAACTCGGCTTGCGATACAAGAATAGACTGGAGATGGCACAAAACTCCGTACAAATTAATATTAGCAATCGATGGTGTATGTACCACCACGCAGTTATAGTTGACTGTTTGTAATGGACGCCATCTTAGTTGACTTTCGAAATATGCATGAATTGCATCCTTCGGAAAGGGGTCGATCAAAACATAAACTCATGGCGGAGGTAAAACACTACTTCACTGTAACGGCTGAAGTAGACTCAACCATGATGCCGCCCAGTGATATTAAGGACGTCATACGTTTAAATGTATATAACCAACAAGATCAAAAGAAGTGACTCGTACCGTGTGGGTGGCTCCTGTGAGCAATACGTAACGCGGTTGGATGTGTATGAATACCATCAGCAATAATACCAAAATAAATGGGCTCCGGAATATGATCACTTGTCAATAAACCAACAACACCGGGATCACGATGGTGAAACTAAACACATAAAACAATGTATTCACGTTCATGGTGCATGGATAAGATTTTTACAAAACACATTTAACCCTTTAAGTGGTAATACACCCTGATGTGCCATACTTTATTAGTTTGCTCTGTCTAGCGCCAGATGAGTTTACTCATCAAGTGAAGTGTGCTGCCACTCACTGGAGTCTGTTGTTTGCGTTACTAGTATACAAGATAGAGACGTACGTACTGCAAGATATAAAACTCGCAGCCACAGATATGATTCAATCTGCAACTAAAGGCTGGTTCACACTAACAATTATGTTAGCGATTTTCCCTCCTGGCAAATGTGATCAAATGAATGACATGCAGAACACTAGCTTAGATTTGTTTACTTCTGAAAAGCGAGTTCATACTTTTGTGTGCGAATTCACTCATTTGCATCCGTCAGAAACACAAAATCGCCGACACAATTGCTAGTGTGAACCAAGCTAGCTTTAAGGGTGCTATAACAAGGGGGAATTTCGTTCTCGACCAATCAGCGCTTTTGTTTACATTTTTGCCCTAAGCCAATCAGAATGCGTAAAACGCTTCATTACATGAAATTTGTAAACAAACATAAGGGGTTACTTCAGAGCTTTTCTGCAAGCGGTTTTTTTGGTTTTTGCCATGAAGTTCATATATGTTGTTCTTAAAAGAATTCTCCTCAACTTCCTCGTGGCGATTTTTGATTAATTGCGTGATTGCGAAGATATGGGTCTTCAAACTTTGCGTTGCGCAGGCTTAAATACCACCCCTCGAATTTGTAGGTTCCGAACGGATTAGCGTTTTTAAAAGCCTTTCAAATCGAGGTTTGAGACGTTTTATTTTTTAAAAGATACTTTTATCTTCATATTTTCACATTAACTTATTAATATCCTGTGTAACAAGTAAACAGGGCATTTCCGGGCCGGGACAAGTTGACATGTCGATTTCTTGCCAAACAGCGTGGCGATCAATATGGCGAATATCTAAATACAGGGAATTTTTAAAATTTTGTTGGTATAAATGGGATAAAGAAGCTCATCAAATATTTGGACTATGGACCTTCAAACTTATGCCAAGTATTTATTTGATTGATTAGCTCAATAACTGTTTTTTGGCTCGTTTTTCGTCGATTTCGACATTTAGTCGAGCTTAGTCGACTTCAAAATAATGTGTCAACATTGCGTGTTGCAGCCTGTGGATATGAATATTTTCGTTTGTTTGACCATAACACTTTTCTTCACTGTTTTTAATCCTTGAATGACAATATATTCATTGGTCTCAGAGTCCTAAACTTAAGGAAGATGGATGACTTTGGGACAGATATCAAAATTTTGTTCAGATATCAAAATTTATGGACATATATAGTCACAGAGCATAGTCATAGGACCCTCATTGTTTCTTCCTTAATCTGGCCCACTAGTCACAAATGGGGCCTGTTCTTATGACCTGGCTAGGCAGGAGACAACATTTGCCAGTATTGCCGATATACTATCCTGCTACTATCCTGGCTAAGCACAAGGTATCCGTTGCCAGAATCCCAACTATGCAAGCCAAGAAATTCACCATTTACAGTAAACATTCTATCCCACAACCAGGCAACATGAACTTGCCTTTAGGGTCCCATGCTGCCTAGCCCAGATCATATCAACAGACCCTTAGCAGATCCTGAAACTACAATTGGAACATTTTAGGCCATAATCTTGTAGAATCAACCAGGTATTGTCAGTAGTATAATATCACACTGGGCAAGCTGGTCTTGCCCATTTATATGGGCTAAATATACACCTGCCCATGGTAAGATTACTGCCTCGTATATTAATTTTATATATGTTTGAGATTGCATTCACATGAAACAGCCTGGTTGAATTTATTGGCCCAGCATTTGCTTGAGCAAGTTGATATCCTGCATTGGGAGTCTCACACTAATAAAGGTCATAAGCTGGCCAACCAGCTCACTCGACTAAAAATCATGTTATAATACACAATTTGGCCCAAGTAAGTAAGAAATTGATTAATATAAGCCTTCTGAAGCTGTTGTCATTAACAAATTAACCAGCATTTCACACAAATTTCTTGACAACAGTTGCCAGGTTAGCCTGGCTCCTGTAAGGCAAATGACAAACTAGCCCTGAAAAGAAAATCCAGCCATGTTTGCTGGGCTAGCATGGCCCATTTTGACAGCCCTTAACAGGGAGATCTGATTTTTGGAAGGGAGATCTGATTTTTGGAAGGGAGGCCTATTTGTGAGGTTACTGGGGGCTTAATATTGGATTGCATTATATAGTATGTGTAAAATATTCATTTGTGCACAGGTATTCTGGTAATGCACAAATTTATGGACTAAAATGTTTCAATTATAGTTGATCGGGATCTATTGGGGACCTGTTTATATGATCTAGACTATCCGGAACACATGCTTGAAGCCTAATTCATGTTGCCTGTTTGGTATACAGTGCCTATTGAATATCCTTATTGTATATGGTGAATCTCTTGGCTTACATATAGCCAGGATTCTGGCAATGGAAACCTCACGCTTAGCTATAGGCCGATAGTAGCAGGATAGGCAGTGGCGGCGCCAGGGGCAAGGAGCAAATGCAAATTATTTATTCCCCCCCCCATTTTGCCCCCCCTCAAAAAAAATTATTAATCACTAAGAGCGACTAAAGGCTACACAAGCGTTCTGTCGTTATCGGAAAATGTATGGCTTATAAGTTGCAGAGTTAAATTCTCAAACGTGTAAGGCAATAATAAGATGAAAGTATCACGAAATTATTTGAATAAACCACATCGCATATATGGGGGGCGAATGTCCTAAAGAGGGGCGATATACCTATGGTATTCGCCCCACACCCCTGGGAGGCGATATTCCTAGGATATTCGCCCCCGGGGGCGATATTGCTAGGAATATCGCCACGTTTTGAGGGGGGGGGGGATTTCCTGGGGGGCGACCTTTTTAAAAATTCTATTTGCCCCCCCAAAATTTGAGTTTGCCCCTCAAATGCCCCCCCAAATTTGGAAGCCTGGCGCCGCCACTGAGGATAGGATAGAACATACTGGCAAATGTCGTCTCCCACCTAGCCAGGTAATATGAACAGGGCCCAATTGTGACAAGTGAGCCAGATGAAGTAAAAAAACAATGAAGTTCATATAGAGGTATATATCCATAAATTTTGATACCTGAACAGCAACATTGAACAAAATCATTCTGTCCCAATGTCATCCATCTTCCTTAAGTTTAGGACTCTGAGACCAATGAATATATTGTCAATCAAGGATTAAAACCAATGAAGACAAGTGTTATTGTCAAACAAACGAAAATATTCATGTCCACAGGGTGCAACACGCAATGTTGACACATTATTTTGAAGTCGACTAAGCTCGACTAAATGTCGAAATCGACGAAAAACGAGCCAAAAAACAGTTATTGAGCTAATCAATCAAATAAATACTTGGCATAAGTTTGAAGGTCCATAGTCCAAATATTTGATGAGCTTCTTTATCCCATTTATAGTAACAAAATTTTAAAAATTCCCTGTATTTAGATATTCGCCATATTGATCGCCACGCTGTTTGGCAAGAAATCGACATGTCAACTTGTCCCGGCCCGGAAATGTCCTGTTTACTTGTTACACAGGATATTAATAAGTTAATGTGAAAATATGAAGATCAAAGTATCTTTTAAAAAATAAAACGTCTCAAACCTCGATTTGAAAGGCTTTTAAAAACGCTAATCCGTTCGGAACCTACAAATTCGAGGGGTGGTATTTAAGCTTGCGCAAGGCAAAGTTTGAAGACCCATATCTTCGCAATCACACAATTAATCAAAAATCGCCACGAGGAAGTTGAGGAGAATTCTTTTAAGAACAACATATATCAATTTCATGGCAAAAACCAAAAAAACCGCTTGCAGAAAAGCTCTGAAGTAACCCCATATGTTTGTTTACAAATTTCATGTGATGAAGCGTTTTACGCATTCTGATTGGCTTAGGGCAAAAATGTAAACAAAAGCGCTGATTGGTCGAGAACGAAATTCCCCCTTGTTGGGTGCTATAGCTTCATCTATCTTTTACATTTCAGCTCGTGTCTGAGCACACCAAGGTGACTCCGAATCCATACAGGTCGCCTCTGATCCCACAGAGCTTGTTCCGAGTCCTTTTTTGATCCTTGTGATCAATTGTTTTTGGTGGAATAGCTTAGTATGGTTCTTTTAGTTCCTTTCTATTCTTCTTTCTGCGTATTGTTATATTTATATTAGTTTTTGTGTGTAGTAAAACTTGATTAAATTAAATTAATAAATCAGGATGACTTGAGACCAATGCACCAATAAATATTCAAGGTGGACAAAAGTTATTAAATGCATAGACATACAGTAGGTAAGCAAAAATCATCAAATATTTAGCTTAAAATCAAACGAAATGTATTTACCGGCAACATTGCGTTAAACAAATGTGTTATAAATCTTGCTCCACATCGTGCTGCATCTTCTGCTATATCCAGACTTCCCATGGTGTGACCTGCAAAATCAACAGAAATGCATTTTCCTTAGTTAACAAAACTGATATAGGAATTCAACAACCTGAAAAATACAAGGAGAACATCGATGTTCCGGGCGAAGGCGCTTCGTCAGGAAGTAAGTTAGTCTATTATGAGAGGAGGGCCAATCTATCTGTGCGAAAGTGCATGAGGACCTATCCTATCCATGACGCATTTTTTAAAAACTCTGTCACGCCATTTTTTAAACTCGTTAAAATAATTCGAAGCACTAACGGAAAGCATTTTAAAAAATTGGAGGGGGGGGGAGGGGGGGGTTAAACCATTTATAGGAGTTGTTTTTATGAATTATGAAAATTCATATTTAACGTAAATTCTCCATTTTCTATAAAACTGCAAATTCTACATTGTTCAGTTTATTTATTGTGAGTCTAACCTATGGATACAGTGATGTCCATCTTGGCCAGATCCTTGATTGTTTCTAAAGCAAACGGTTGTTCAGGTGCCATTGTTATAATCTTGACAAAATCCAATGTACCATAATGTTCAATCATTTTATTTACTCCTTGTGAATCTAGACCTTCAATAAATAGTTCTTTGTGCGCTCCTTTCTTTTCTTTGCTGATGAAAGGACCTTCTAAATGTAATCCTATAATGCATAAAACTCTTAATAAAACTCAGAGTACATGTAAGGTAAGGTATTCTTTTAAATTTAGATCAGTAATTAATATAAACATTATCGTGCTGAATATAAACGTCAATATTTGCTATCAAACAAACAATAATACACAACAAATATTATAATAAATCATTTGTAAATCTGAACGCTGATTGGCTAAGAGCCGTGTTGATATAACTCACTGTCAACACGGAAAATTTCTTTCTTTATATTTCTTTGTGCTATGTTATAAAAATATATAAAACATTTTTCCGTATTGGAAAACAGTTATATCAACACTCGTGGAAATTGGGAAAACTCGAAATTGTGTGAAAACACTGACTCCACAATTCGGGTGTCGTGTTTCCACACAATTTCTCGTTTTCCTACTCGTGTTGATATAACTTTAAAATACTCATTAATAATTCATAAACCTTGTGGCAAATCATGTCAGCCATAATATGTCACGTGGAGTGAGTTTAGATCTGATAAAGCATGCGGCATTATATAATTGTTCATCCTATAATTAGTATGATTATTATTAGCATGACAAAATTACTGGATGCTGATTGGTTGAGAGGAGTACGATTATTTCATTAATTGTACAGCAGTACAATTAATGATTTTCCCAAAACAAACAAAATGGCGGAAAGGTATTTTAAACACAAACGTGAAATGAAATTGCCCTTGAGGAACTACATGAAAATACGAACAAAAGCACCAAATTTTGCATTTATTTAACAAAATGAACTAAATGAAAATATGAACAAAAGCACCAAATTTTGGTTGAAAGTCTGGCAGGACTGGACTTTGGCGAGAGAATATGATGTTGACATTGAAAAGTATCCAATTTTGTCATGGCAAAATTTCCAAACATCACTCGTACTATTAATCCCTAATTGTACTCGCGCCATCGCATGATTACCTATACTTATATAATGGTTCATGCCGTTCATCCTAATTAGTATTCTTTTGTAGTCGTATTTTAAGCTATTCAAAACACGAGTAGGAGTGTTTTATCGGACATAAAACGCTCGGCTGCGCCTCGCCTTTTCACGATTTTTGCATATTGTTTACGGTTTGTTTGGTTTAAGATTTTGTTTGTCTTGAGTTCATTTCCATATTCACCTTATTCGATGCCCAGGTATAATCAATGAAACATATCTAAAACAAAATCCTAGAACAAGTAGAAGTCGAAAGAAAGTGTAATGCAATCAAAATATTTAACTTTGTATTTACTTGCCAAGAATACTTGCACCATGAGTGTTTTTTGAGCTTTTCTCGATTTTTGGAAGAAGCTAAGAGAAAAATAACATCAACCTGATAAGGTTATAATTGTCTGCGTATATATGCATCTTCCGTCTGATTCATGAGCCTAAACGTGAGTGAAAGCTTCTTTTGGGCAGTATTCTGTAAGCGCTGGTCTTGCGTCCATGCAATTAGGAGTGAAATAATTAGCAATTATTGAATGAGGTTGAGCACAATATGAAGAATTATCAAGCCCAAAGTTTGCCGTTATCAACCGAAGCCGAAGGCTTTGTTATCAACCGAAGCCGAAGGCTGAGGTTGATAACGGCAAATTGAGGGCTTGATAATTCTTCATATTGTGCGAAAACCGAATTCAATAATTGTTTTATTATTTATTTAAAAATTCAAAACAAACGGAAGCTATTTGTATTTTATTTGTATTAAGAAAAAAAACCAATTCCTTAGTCCTTCGGCAGCCGTCGTCGTCGTCATATCAATGGCGTCAGCGTCTCAGCGAGTCAATATGATTCTCGTCGTCATAGTAATATGGCGCAAACGCGTCCAATTTTTTTTCATATTGACTCTTTGACGTCATTTTGCTAATATGAATGTGAAAAATCCATATTTGGTTAGCCATTGAGTTGATATGACAATTTCACAGTTAGCTGTTAGCCAATCAGAAACCAGGAATTTTTTAAATAAATAATAAGTTTTATTATAGTTGCGAGCGATGAACCAGGCGGGAATAGTAATCTTATTATAAATACCAATGCCCAGCGTAAAAGAGCCATCAGGCATCACAAAATTAAATTTATAACGTTTTATAAATAAAAATATTTATAAACTGACGTGTTTCGTCCTATACTCAAGGCATCTTAAAATTAAATTAATGAAGTTACTTCATTAAACTCTGAAGATGTCTTGAGTGTATAAAACGAAACGTCAGTTTATAAATAAATCTTATTCGAAATTTAATTTGGTAATAGCTACGCACATTATGCTGGGCATTGATATTTATAATAAGTTTTATTATCAAGAGGTGTTGAAGTATAATAAGTTTTATTATCAAGAGGTGTTGAAGTATAATAAGTTTTATTATCAAGAGGTACTTTCAAAAATCATAGAAATTTTGTAACTTCGCCCCGAGTTATAACTGCTGCACGGGTTGATTGCGCGAGTGATGATACTACATCCTCCAATGGCCGTGCAAGACATATAACAATCAACTTTCATACCTGGTGATATGTTTCCTTGGCAGAAGTAACAATAGTTGGACAGAATGACGTCACGCCATATTGCAGTAAGTTTTCACATACTACTTCCATTCCAGTCTCTATGCTCTCTACGTCAGATGAAAAATCCACACCAAATCCACCTAGTGACAAGGATAAGAACTATAAGGTTAACTCTTCACTCAGGCCGCAGGCGTATGCGTTGCCCCCATGGAAAGCATCAGCCCGTACGCTTATGGTTTACACTACAGGGTGTATAAAAAAAACTGAACAGATTTGAAATTGCTCTCAATTTCGCAAAACAGTTCGTGGTATCAAGTTTTTGTTATATATAGATTCCTTGAGTATCCATAATGTAGAATAATGAAAGAAAATACTCGAACTCAAATTTTGTAAACCAGGGGGTGTTTCTTTACCAACAAACTAAAAATGGCTTGCGCACGAAATCTAAAAGCTTTAATGATCGTATTTTGAGATAATGGATAGACAATTTGTTGGGTTTTTAAATACTGTACAAAATTTCAGACAATTTGCCGAAAAAATCAGCCTTTTGCATGCTTGGTTAATGCCTTTACCTAATTTGCATATTGCTGCAATATTCAAATTAGGCAAAGGCATTAATTAAGCTAGCATGCAAAAGGCTTTTTTTAAGCATTGTCTGAAATTTCGTGCAGCAATTAAACACCCAACATATTTTTCACCCATTAACTTAAAATACGATTAAAGCTTTTAAATCTCGTGCGCAAGCCATTTTTATTTTGTTGGAAAAGACACCCCCCCCCCTGTTTAGTTCGAGAATTTTTTTCATTATTCCACATTATAAGTACCCAGAGAAGTTATATATATCAAAAACTGGATACTAATAGCTGTTTGCGAAATTGAAAGCAATTTCAAGTCTGTTCAGTTTTTTTATGCACCCTGTATAACGCTATGGCAAATTTACCATATATAGCGTATTGGTTTTCATTCCCACACAAACCACTCCGTTATAGTGTAAACAGATATTAAGAAACGTAGAGCCGTACAATCTCGTTATAGCCGTAGCGTTATAATCATTAATGTAAACGCGGCTAAATATACACATATAGGTATCTTATAAAATCAAAAACAAGAATTTGCACGTCGTTTTGTTTAATTTATACATACTGGTATATTCTTACAAGTGTGGAACTGTGTTTATGGCTGGTAATTTAATCAATCAGCCATCAATTAATATTTAATACAAACAACCCAATCCATCAACAAATCAGATATATTCAATAAAAATATTCAATCAATTAAAAAATCCATCAATAACTCAGACAATGAACCAATCACTCAATCAATTTTATGCTCAATCATGCAATCAATTATAGAATCGTCTATAAGTTAATAATTATTTAATCAATTGTCCAATCATACAATCTAGAAATCAATTAATGCAATCAATAATCAATTATGAAATAAACTGATTAACTAATTATAGAATAATCCAAGCTAATTAATAAATCAATGAATCAAATATCATATCTGCACATTACTCAAATGAAAAATATATTCAAGTTACGACTGCATCTTACCGTTAATTTGAACATCAATATATCCCGGAGCAATTATTAATCCCTTACAATCAATCTTAACATCCGCAGCAACACTTTCATCAAAAAAGACAACATGGGGGTCTAAAATAATCCCATCTCGTATCCAGAGATCATCTTTTATTATTTCATGATTCTTAAGCAAGGAACAATTCCAAAACTGAATAACTTTCCCTGCGTCCGCAATTCGTTTCCGTTTCATTTTACCTGGTTTGGATTATCCTAAAATTTCAATACATAGATATGATCACAACATGTTATCTATCTGTTTATTTGTTTATTAAAGTTTAAACAACATTGTTTATTGTACCTGTATAAACTATCCCGTAAACGAAAATAAATATAAACATACAGTATATAATCTATACATAAAACAAGTTGGTTCACATATTATTTATAATACTGTAATGTAATCGTCACTCAACTGAGCTGTTGGAATCCCTGTCACCGCGTTAATAAATATCTGTCCAATAATACGCCAAATATACGCATGAAAGGCGCTTGCTCTCATGACTGCGCCACCGAAGCTTTCAAAAGTGATATGGAAAATTATTACACGATGACGTAACGCAACATGGGGAAACACGAATCCGAAAATGCCAGAATGCCAAAGGAACGCAGCCTATGGAACGCAGTCAGAAATGTATTCGGAACGGCAAGGAATAAGATTAAAAATGTTCACAGGTGGCTAACAGCTATGAAACTCTCCTTAAACATGAAAAAAACTGAGTCCATGATAATAGGATCAAAACATGCATCGTCCAACTTCAATTGAAAATAGCCCAGTACTAACATTGGGGGAAAGTAACATCAAACGCGTTTTTGAAAAAAAGTCACTTGGCATGATCCTAGATGAGCAATTGAAGTGGGACAAACATAATGATGCACAATGCAAAGTAATTTCAAATAAGATCGCCCTTTTGAAAAGGGCAAGATCGTTTGTTCCCAGAGAAACTTTAATAGAAATGTACAATGCCTTGGTGTGGCCACACTTCAATTACTGTTCAACAATCTGGAACGATGGGTCTTGCTCGATAATTGATAAATTATATAAATTACAAAAGAGAGCTGCGCGTGTGATAACTGGGGACACGTACGATGTTCGTTCCACACAAATACTAAATAATCTTAATTGGCTTCCAATTGAGGAACTTTTAAAAAAATGAGAAATAATAATAATGACATTCAACGCATTAACTGGTCGATTACCTCAATATCTTGTAAAACTGTTTGCAAGATGCCAAAACAACAATTACAATCTAAGAAGTAATCAAACCAAATTGGCGTTTCCTAAACCTAACACAAATTTCCTCAAAAGGAGCTTCTCGTATAGAGCTGCGAAATCGTGGAACGAACTTTCAAGTGAAACCATCGAAAATCACAATGAACTATCAATTAATCTTATCGTTTAAACGGCGATTACATAATCAGGTATAAAATTGATGCTAATAATACGTCTGATACTTTGTAAATAGTCTTTATTTATTTGTTTATATATATATTCTGTTTCATATCACGGCCCTTTGAAAACCAGTTTTGTAAATATAATTATACACTGAATAGGCTACCGTGTGTAAAGAATTTTAATTATAAAGATTAAAGGAATCCAATTGAACCCTACGGCTGCATTGGAACGAGAAGGCGTTATATATGGACGTTAGGTTATGTTCTCAATTACCTAATGAATATTATGTTATATCAGATATTTTCTACAAAATTAATAAAATTAAATGGATAGTAAATATAAAATTCTCAGTGAAAATTAATTTCGTTTCTGGGTCAATCGTTCTACTAGCTACGCGGAGCACTTTGACGATTGTTGATTATTAAGATACAATGAGTTATTAGAAGATAAATTATTTGGCTGTTTTTTTTTTCTGTGGCTGTGGTTAAAGTCTGAACTTGAGCATTAATTACTGCCTTCGACACGGTTGATCATGACAAATTCTCCACAAACTCAAACAGACAGGATGGAATACTTAAACAGTTGAAGGCTTTTTGTAGATGGACAACTCGAGCGGAAGATTATAATTATACAATTTTAGACCTAACCAGGATCAGCTGCAAAAAATGTTACATAAATAACTATAGTACCCCTATAGGGATCGAAACTGTGTCCCTGTGATTCCGGTGCAGCACTGTAAAAAACTGAGCTACAGTCTACAGAGTCCAGTTGTCAAGCTCTAACCAAAAGTTCTAAATTTAACAAATAGATAAGATTTTGCCATTGTCTGTTCAGGTATATAGACACGTCAGGTGGGAAGAACAAAATAGTGGCTCATGATCCGCCGAGGCGAGTGGTGGGTCACTTTTTGTTATTCCCACATTATGACGTCACACTGTGTATTCTATAACAGAGCAGACAACAGCAAAATCTTATCTATTTGTTTTATATTTTTATATAATAAAAAGAAAACCCCCGAATTAAACAGGTAAATAGCTTACATTGGAAATTTGAAAGTCGAAATTTTACAAATATCATGCGTACATGATCTGCACAATAAGGGAATGCTATTGGATAAGGTTTTGTGTGACATAATTCTGTGTGTATCCTCCAATAGATGATGGCTCTCAACCAATAAATTTAAAGCACTTGAATTCTTAACGTTATTATATAATTGTATAATATATTGGGTGATGCCATTATACTGTAGGTATGGGTAAATATCAAGATTTTTGGGCATCATGCTGACTCTCTCGATAAAAGTAACAGTTGAAGGCTTTAAAGTGCAGATGAAAATTTTGAGGGGAAGATTATATACATTTCTAGACCTAACCTGGTGTATTATCCAATTTTATTTCATAGATGAAAACATTACAAGGTTATGCCCCCCCCCTCCAGCTTCTCCTCAGTTTTGAAGGAATTAGAAAATTGGTCCTGAAGAAAAGTGAGAGTCCAAACCACCTCATTCCCCTATGGCTATGCCTCTGCTGGCTTTGGCAAAAAAACAGTGAGCACTCCCACAGCATGGCTGCACAGTGCCTTGGGCATAAAAAAAACCCTGTGGTTCTGGTTCCCGGCCGATCCTATTTTTTTCTGCCAACCCTGTTATTTTTTCAATGCGATTGACCGTGCAACCCTATTTTCTCCGGGTGGTTGTGGGCTGCTGCCAAAATGGCATCTGTTAATTGTCACACTAATTATTGAAAAAACCATCTGGTGAAAAAAATATTAAAAAAAAATTATTCCTGACCTACCGACGCTAATTTTTTTGCGATATGAAACCGGAACCACAGGTATTTTTTTTTACGCCTTGCTCTTGTAAAATTTCATCCCTGCATATAACTGCAATTGCTAATTGCATCGATCGCTGCTTCTATTTTCTATTCTGGCGAGTAATATCTTTAGAAAAATACAATTTGAGTTGCGCTTGCAGAATGCAGCAATAAGACTTTGATCTGGAGATGAATTTGGTGTTTTTTAAGCCTATTTTTCAAAAATAATGAATAATGAAAAATTTTCGTGAGGCAGATAAATCCCATGCGGGCGGGGATGAGAAACATGATATCAATTTTCATTGGCCTAGCTAAGTTGAAGAATGATCAAATTATACAAAAAAACTATCAATTAATAACTTAATTTTATTACTATCAATTAATAACTTAATTTTTTTACTATTTAAACAATCAAATGAAACTATACAGTAAGCCATATTCACAAATTTGGTAAGAGTCGGTCGAGAGTACGGCAGGTACAAAACGCAGGTTGCAGGTTGCAGGTTGCAGGTTGGAATTTTGCAGGTTGGGAATTTTGCAGGTTGAAATTTTGCAGGTTGGGAATTTTGCAGGTTGGAATTTTGCAGGTTGGGGATTTTGCAGGTTGGAATTTTGCAGGTTGCCAGGAACTTTGCAGGTTGATAATGCAAATTTAAAATTACACCACTTTTTTAGTATTCTAGTATAACTTAGTTGTGCATTTATTGCAGTCTGACTCCTTGTCGGCACTTTTGATATCAGCCCACCCTGCTGCCATGTTCCTAGCCTCTGCTCTAAGGCTAGTGGCCATCACCCCCGTAAAAACATTCAAAATGACCAGATTGGCTTGGACCTACATGGAGACGAATGTTTTGATTGTTGCGAGATGCCTACATGACGTGGCGGCGTTTATACTAGAATGTTGTTAAACGTTAACTAACTCTCGAGTAATGATACGGTAATGGGGGCTTGAGTGGACTTCTCATAAGTGGGTGCAGAGGAGAGACACATCATTCAGGCATTTTCTGAACTACCACCACGTCATATAGGCTCCTCGCAACAATCGAAACATCCGTCCCCCTGAAGGTCCAAGCCAATCTGGTCATTTTGAATGTTTTCACAAGGGTGATGGCCACTCCTTAGAGCAAAAGCTAGGAACATTGTAGCAGGATAGGCTGATATCAAAAGTGCCGACAAGGAGTCAGACTGCAATAAGTACACAATTAAATTATACTAGAATACTTTTAGTGGTGTAATTTTAAGTTTGCATCATCAACCTGCAAAATTCCTGGCAACCTGCAAAATTCCAACCTGCAAAATCCCCAACCTGCAAAATTCCAACCTGCAAAATTGCCAACCTGTGAAATTCCAACCTGCAACCTGCAACCTGCGTTTTGTACCTGCCGGTCGAGAGTATTGGACAAGATTAGCCACTTAAAGGGTTAAAACTATACTGGGGATAAAACCTACAGCAGGGGTCAGAGAAAATTTGAAAATTGACTGAGGCCATTTCCTGAATGTTCTATGCACTGCTGAACTGAAGAAATAGGACAGCAAAATGCTACAAAAATGCTGGTTTGGATATGCAATATGTTCTAAAGGAGCTTCAATCCCCCCCCCCCCCCCCCCCCCCCT